TTATATGTGGCTCTTTGCCCGGATCCTCCTGCGAGAGAAGAGAGAGAGAGAGAGAGAGGAGAGAGAGATGAGAGAGAGATGAGGGAGAGATGAGAGAGATGAGAGAGATGAGAGAGAGAGAGAGATGAGAGAGAGAGATGAGAGAGAGAGATGAGAGAGAGAGATGAGAGACAGAGAGAGAGAGAGACAGTGAGAGTGTGAGAGTGAGAGTGAGGGGGGGGGGGGGGGGGGGGGGGCTTCGACCTGAAAAATCAGGGGTTAGGATTTGCACCCGATCGAAAGAAACCTTGCTATCGCAAGAGTAACTCCAGCTAGCTTCGCTAGCTTTCGTGATATATGCATGCCTGCATTGGAGTGGTGGCAGGGGTCAATGCAGGCATACATTCCATACGTGGGGCGTCTGGGAATTGGAGGGTGAACACCATTTTCAAAGCTTCTGGTGCCCATCTACCCAGGGCCCAGGGGCAGAAGGATCATTTTGGAACACACCGAGTTGAGTCCGTTTAGGATCCTTTTTGGAACACATGATAAGGATCATGTTGAATTCGATCCTAATCCTAATCCCACGTTCCACAACGAACCCGGTTCCTCTACCCAAAGACCAAGTGTAAGTGTACGAGTGTGGATACTGCTGGATACCTGTGGCCCATCCACCAAAGCGGAGCAAACTCCAGATTGCTCGAATTCCTATCTGGGCTCCATACCCTAAGACCCGGCTCGTACACCGACCCGGGGGTCTAGTGCCCGGGGGGGGGTGTTTGGCCGGGTCTAGTAGACCCCCTTGGCACCGACACGGAGGTCGTTGGAGCCCAGGGATTCTTCGAACTGGAAGCAGTACGTCCAAAGGAATCGCCCCAGAAGGATCCAAAAGGCATGCTTGACTCAAACATAATTACTCAGACCTGATCTGAAAAACCACCAGTGAGCCTCAAAACCGCGTATACCGCCAAACGCGTTCTCTTTTGAAGATGACCTGGATGTTATGCAGCTTGCAACATCCGAAAACCGTTCTGGAACATGGTACTCTGTGATGTTTCGACCGTTGTGCTCGTCGCCCGCGCGGTGCCCAAACGCGACGAGTTCGGATGTTCGGAGGCAGTCTGTGTAGGTGCCCAAAGCGACCGGGTCATGTACGACCACCCGCCTGGGTAGGTGCCCCAGTCCTCATTTCGGACTGGGAAGCCACACGGACTGGTGTCATCTTTCTACCGGGACCGTGACCAAAAAGTCCCGTGGTGTGAATTAACCTGACTCAGCGGGAGATGTTTTCAGTGCAAATTAACACCTATATATAATACCCAAACGCTTCCCCTGTTCATTCGGAAACACCACTCCACTGACTGGGAAAGAAGGATAAGGACTGGGAGGAGCATGGCAACCGCGATCCAAACCGCATGGATCGATCGGGCTTTCGGTCACCCAAGGTCGAATGGATGCCGAATCGAGGTCGAATGGCGTACTTGAGAACCCAAATGGATGACCTTCAATTGAGTCGTTTGGAATATGTTCCTGAATCAACCAACCAACTATAGCCAGCACCACCCAAAGGGTGGTTTATAGACCGCCCTGACTATCTATTTTCCATCTAATAACCTCGCTTTGGATGGTGCTGGAGTATGGCATATGATAGACCCTGATAGACCTGTGGAATCCGGCATTGACATGCTCTCTTTTTTCAGGCTCCTTTTCGAATCCGATCCCAAGCACCGATGGTCGCTCACCCGCACATACCCGCACGACCCTTCACCCGAGGGGCGCCAATCACCAAGATGTTCACCTGGCGACTTCGATCTGAGGACCCCCGGGGACGACGCGCGCTTCGAAGGAGGGCGGTTCACTCAGCCCGGCCCGGCGGCGACCCGAGGCCGAAACACAGCAGGTCCGGAGTCCGGACCGAAATCCTTGCCATTGGGACCGGAGTCCGGATTCTTGAACCACTCCTTGGAGTGCGTTCACACCTCCCTTTGCGGCTTGCCGAGTTGGGCATCCCGGAACTTCACAAAGCCCCTCCAAAAGAGGTCTTGGAGAATGGAGTGACTTGCACTGGACTTTCACGTTCGACTGGAAGGGCTTGGACCCCAAGCAACACAGTCCTTAGGGGTGGCGAACCTAAGAAAGGACATGTTATCCTTCCGCACCCAGCGTCTGTATACCAAATCCTTCTCATGCCGAAACAAACAAAGTCCCTCCATCAAGCGCCACCTTTTACCATGTCCCGGAATCCGATGAGTGAGGAGCTTTCAGTGAAGAGCTCCCCATAGGTGCTTAGGACCAAATTGGTGCCCAAAGGCATAGTACTCTCGCAACCTTGAGGAAGCAACCAAGAATGACCTTGCCAAAACGAGGAAATCATTATGACAATCATGGGAAATCTGTTTAGCCAACGTTCAACACCCAAAAGCCATTCTGCCATTAGCCTCCATGCTACATCATGCTACTCACCTCCACCCCCTTCAATGTTGCTTCTCAACCTCTGCCCCTTCAGACCTTCCAGAGGAAACGAAGACACACGCCCAATCGATGCCTCTTCGGGGTCACCCTTCTCAGGCAGCTTCGCCGGCAGCGGCTGGATCTCAAGAAGCCGCCGCAGATTCCGCCGCTCGTTGCGGGCCCTGGCGCCGGTAGATGGAAGAGTCCAAAGACTATGCCTACAATTCTTAGCCAAATGCTCGATATTTGGGGGGTACAGTATATAATAGATGAATTCTGAAGATGGGAGGATTGAATGCAATTGGGAAAACTGCATATGTTCTGTGTTCTGTCCTTTTGCCGGTGTCAACCTGACCACTGTTGTGTGTTACGTGTTTCGGGATGTTTCCAGCCCGCTCCCGGCTCCGGCAGCCTGGTGTAAGGAGCACGATTGACAGACCCATTCAAGCAGGAGACTGCACAATCCCACGCAATCGATTGCTGCAAGCACAAACGCCTTTTGGGCTATTGAAACGCCTTTGGTGAGCACTACCACCACCCTCCTTGTTACCAAGTACAAATAGCTTGACACTATGATCAATGTGCTCTGGCTGCAGCAAATCTATGGATGCTACCTGCTGATGTTTTCGGTAACCTGAGGGATGGTGCTACACGAAAGCAGAAAATCAAAGTGTGGTCAGCTTAGTGCTGCGTGCGCCAATAGGGCCAAAAATTAGCACTTCCCAGCTGACCGCGGGATCCAGCTATATACACCTCTGCTGGAAATCAGAACGCCACTAGTCTCAAACTTCCTTGTTTGGTGATTGTGCACATAAAATGACGTTTCCATCTGCATGTAAATGTGTTAAAGTGGTTTCTTCCTTCTCTGAACCGTGGCCTTCGAATTGACAAAATGGAGAGCACGGACTAGGTTCATGCCATCCAGCAAGGCTTACGCCAGGACTCTCCGGCATAAGCACACTTGTCACCCAGCTCCTCCTCGATGCGCATCAGCTGGTTGTACTTGGCCTCAGCAGAATCCGCAAGCAAAGATGCCAAACACTTGAAGGTTTGCCTTTGACCCTTAGATTTCCACATATTCCAAGGATTTATAGCACAAATCTACGCAAATTAGAAGTGTGTTTGACATGACATGGAACTTTTGGCTTGGATAAATGTGTTGAGCCTGTGGGAGTGATCCAAAGGTGGCAAAACTATCATTCACCGACATGTCCTTTCTATCTCCAACCATGTTGAGAAGAACTGCGAACCGGTGCCTTTTGCGGTCTGAACTCCTCTTCCAACCAAGCCCTTCCACCTTCAAATTCAGGCTGGCATGGCTAGGACCCCCAAACTCGAGCCTTCCATTCCGTGCCATCCTAGCCATAGCCTTCACCTTTTAAATCCTTTAAAGGAAGAAGCCGCCCAGCCTCGCTGTGGAGAGGGCGTTCCGGTCCATCCCACACCCCGACCCAACTGTAACCACCGTCCCACACCCCACCGGCGTTCTTCGTCCTTCCCGTCCTTCCGGTTCCAAGAGGCGTTGCGGTCCGATCGGCACGGCGCCCCCGTCTTGATCTGGCCGGTGCAAAGACCCACCGCCAAGTCCGCAATGGTGGTGTCCTGGCTCGTGGCTCGTGGGGACTGGGCGGACGTGGCTCGGGTGGGCTCTGGTACGTCTAGCGATGTCAACTTTCTCTGACTTCCCTGTAAAGCTACAAAGCTGGACTGATGCAGGGGCTTTAAAGTCTGACACGTGATGTTCAGTCTTTCCAGCTTGGAACAACTGACTCTTCCTCTCGCTCCATCTACCATCATCTAGACCAAGCCTTAACCCATCCAAACACTTACAGTATCACATCACATCTAATTATGCCCATAGCATCCATCTCTCATTCCTCATTTTCCATCTGTCGGAACACTCCCCCTGACTCCCCCCTAAAACCAAAAAACACCACGGAATAGAAGACCCACGGACATCCTACCTCGGTCTCCCCCGAGCGGTGGGAGCACATCACGCCCCAGCCGTTGGTCTTGCACAGCTTCACGGCATCGATGGACTCGCTGACGGTGCCGATCCTGGGTCACTCGACCGGGCAGCGGGATGGGGGGGGGCACGGTGGTGGTGTGGTTGGGGCGAAGGAAAGTCCTATGGTTTCAAACGCCTGAAGATCCGTGGCATGCGCCCCAAAGCTTGTGTCATGGCGTATCATGACATCTAAGTTGACTCACAAACAATGGGATCGCCGGCGATCCGTCCATCTGGTCCCGTTGATCCTGAGCTCCCCCAGCCCGTGATCTGGGGTTTCACCAGGGCAAGGCTCTGATTCACCTTCAGGAGCAAAGCATTGCACGCCTGATAGCGCAGATTCTGATTTCGGTAGCAAACAAATCTCCAGTGAAACCGCTGGAGTTTGACATGTCTTTCAACCCAAAATCATCCACTCGACTCATCGGACTCCATCCTTTCTTTCGCCTGAAAGGCCGGGACCGCCTGGCTCCGCACTGTCTTTTCGGCACCCCCCCCCCCCCCCGGATCCACCAAGCCGAACGTTCTGGGTTTGTGATAGCGCGACTTGCGGACTCAGTCTGATACAGCCCATGTTGGGCAGTAACCAGGGAGCTCTCTGGGGTTGTGATCAAGCCGAACTCTCCTGGATGAATCAAGCTTATCTTCCAGTAGAACCACCAGCCGGTATTGATCCGAGTCGACCAAGTGGATGCCCAGAAATGACGTGGACACATGGATCAGTTTGAGGTCGACTTGCAGCTGTCCCTCAAGTAAAGTGACACACACAACGGCTAATTACTTTTGAACAACATATGCAATCTTCCGGAGGGTGCAGGTCAAGCAAAAGTACACATTGTGACAGATCTTGTGCAAACATGTTCACGTCAAAGACGGCATTTTTTCTTCGGTGCTCCACCTTGTCGCGGGCCCACCTTGTCCGTGATGGCCTTCTGCACACGAGAGACGTTGGTGACCGTCAAGTCGTCTCCAACGACCTGAGTTGGTCCACCCACCTTTGTTGTAAAGGTGCTCCAGGCCGCCCAATCGTCCTCGTTCGCGCGAATGGGGGAGGACGACCGACCGAGGACGACTTGACCGTCAGAAGGAGGAAGGTTGTATGGTCATGGCCGTTTCAACGATGATTTTCCGCAGAGTCGAACCGAAGCGAAGACAAACCGATACCGAACCGTCAGGGTACGCACAATACCGAACCGATACCGAACTGAAGCATTCACGTAGGAACCGTACCGCAACCGAACCGAACCCCCGAATGTGGAAAAAAAACTTTTCGGGCCACAAGTGCCTTGCTTGTGGGATAAGGAGCTAAAGGAAAAACATCCGAATTGATGGTCATGGCCCTGGCCCTTGCCACAGGTCTGTGGTCACAAGAGCAATCGGCTAGCTTGTGCCCGAAACTACGATTCAAACACAGAAATTGCATTTATAAAAAGAAACTGTCCAAGGTCCGAAAAGTGTTTTTCCAATTAAATATGAGTCTCCGCCACCGTTGAAAAACCGAAAACATGTTCAATACATCATACGAACCGAACCAAAACCGAACCGATCCCAATACATGTCAGCAATAAATATAAAAAACTATCGCAACATCGAACCTAAACAGCCATGATGATATACCCCCATAAGGGCCCCTGATGGAAAACGATGGAGAAACTAACGTGGGTCCCCTGAAAGCTACTGGTTTGATCTGGTTTGTAGGAAACAGTCTTTTCCGGGTCCCATTCTCAGGGTCCATGTTGGTTTTCGGGTGTATGTTGCATTATATTATATATTATAGATTACAGTATATATATATATGTCACCTATGTCCAGGCCATCCCCTCCACAAACAATGTGCTTTGTAGAAGCCAACAAGACATCATGTCATTAGCACTGTCATTAGCCTAGGAGCTCAGAAAGAGTCTATAGAAGTACAGAAACACCACAGCACAGTATTGGCTCCCCACCTTATTCTTCAGGCTTCTGCCTTAGTTATATTTATTTGTTCATGCAGATCTAGGGCATGATGAGCCAGCACCTGATTCTATGCACAAGGTTTTCATCCGAATCCGAACAAGAGCGGGGCCCGAAGAACGACGCAGCACGACACAAACTCAGATCATGATTGTATCCCCTCTCCCAGAAAGTCCTGGTCAAAAGGATCCTCGATGGTGATCAAGGGGTACTTGTTGCAAAGATCCGCGTAGAAGTCCGCCAACTGCGCTCCGGTCATCTTCAGATCTGGGGTCTTCCTGGGATCGGCGGTGACCTGAAGGTTCCCTGGAGATAGTTCTCCTACTTGGATCAAACTCCAAGGTTGGTCTTGCTACGTCTTGCTAAGCCGTCACGGAACCAGTATTTGAATAGGGAGAGAGAGGTCTCCCTTTGACACGACCTAAACTGAAAGCGCTGGCTCTTCGAAAGTGACACTGTCCATTAACTACTTGACTGCCGGTCTCAAGGCGAAATCGTCTGTTTTCGTCTCGTGCAGTGAGCATGGTTAGCCCGCCTAAAGTTCCTCAGAGTGGAAGGATAGAACCTCCCTGCTTTATGTACTTGTTAAACAATCTCACACTTGGTGCTGGCGCAGGCTCAATGAAGCTGAATCAAACCCTGCATGATCTTAGTTCGTTTGTGGCCCCTTCCCTGATGTTGGTGCTTGATGACAAGCAAAAGCAACACCACAGTTAATATACAATTATATAAACAACATAGCATCATGGTTGGTTCTGTCGGAAAATATCTGCCACTTGCATTTGCTTGCTAGGATTTACAAGGGGCAACAGCCTATCCCGCCGGGTATTAGCGACCCTTGATCATTTCAGTCGAGAGTCTCAGCCTCAGGGTACCAGGTGCCCAAATCGTAGCAGTCCACACCTGGTGCTCGCTCAAAGCACATGGATTTCCGGAAAAAAACAGTTGACAAATACATGCATAATACATGCATAATACATGTAAGATCATGTAAGTATTCATCAGGTGCGAAATCAGGATGACCAATTCAGTGCCGCACCGGTCGCAAAGCGGCGACGTCGGTGGATTTCCACCCGGTGCGACACACGCGGTCACGCCTTCGACCTTGAACTCGGAGGCTGCCACGTCCATACCCACCTTGCACTTGTCCTGGGGTCGAGAGGTGGGTGAGTCCAGGGAAAGTCATTGAACCATCAAAAGAATGAAAAGATGTTCAGAAGTCTTTGACTCTTTGACAAGTAATATAAGACATGAATTCTGAAGTAAAGAACAAAAGAACACAATCCATCCACCACTCCCATCATACTGCCTATAGAACACAGAAGCTCCTCGCTTTTGTTGTTCTCCGCCCGCTCCTTGTATCCAGCCTTTTCGATGGCTTCCATGATGAGTTCGACTCCCTGACGTGCATCGCAGGGCGGGGCGAAGCCGCCCTCGTCGCCGATCAGGGTGGCGTCGCCGCCGAACTTCTTCTTGATGATGCCCTGGGACGGTCCGGGGGTGTCGTCCCGGGGGTGTCCCAACCGGCGTCCCGGTGCCGGTGGGGTCCGCAAACTGGGGTGGAGTTGTCTTGATACTGAGGTTGAACACGCTCAAGGTTTGAATGGAACTGGGTGTGTGCAGAGTGTTGGAGCAATATACCCACGCCCACACATGTGCCTGCTGTGCCATTGTGTAGCAGCAGCATCTACAGAACTGCGCGATGTAAAGTGCAAGCATCTCCACCACGAAACCACATCAGGGAAACCAAACAATCCTGACTACAATAAACTATAAGTTCATAGTATAAAACAATACAAAGTACGAGACAGTCACATGCATTTTAAGTCCTTCTACCATCCTCTACCACCTTGGAGGCCCTGGCTGGGTCGACAGGTCGACTGGTCGATTTTCCTTCTTCGGGGTCATTGCCTCGGTCTCCCTACGTTAACACACACACACACCGCATGCATACCGCTAGGGGGTCCAACCACCTAATGGAGCCCTAGGGTCATAATACGATGTGAGGTGGTATATAGATTTTCCCAAAACAACTCTACAGTGAAACACAGTGGATCTTCCGCAGTTTCCAGGGAAACCGCGTTGCGGCCACTGGCCACCTGCAAAAACGAATCGGGCGGGTGTTCGTCGGGCCTTCAGGGTGTGGTAGCACTCGGCTCCAATCCTCATGGCATCCTTGAAGGAGGAAGCACCGACCTGAGCAGGACCGGAAAAGGATCTGGGCCGTGTCCGACTTTTGTACGGACCGTCCATGTACTGAGCATACGAACATGCTATGATTATCATATTTGTCACATATTGGTTCTGCAGCAAGGTCAATCTTGTTCTAGCCCATTTGAGCAATCATGCATCTGGGGCACAGGAATGATGAAGTACTCCTGGAAAGCCAGCTTGTTTCCTGCAGTGGGTCTCTTGCTCGCTTGGACTACATCACTTCCTGACCTAGCCGGGAAGTCACTGAGTCTTCCCTAACCATGGAACTGAAGTTCTTCTCAAAACACAAGGGCTCTGCTCTACACCCAAGTCCTACGTCTCGAGGAGTTTGCTCCACTTGCAGTCTCACAACTGCACTTCACTCGACCCACAGCATAGGGAGAAAGAAGGAGTACCGTAACTACACGACTGATCGCACGAGGTCCAAGAGGGCCTCTGCGAGCTCCACCCTGTCAAATCAATCCCTATGGATCCACATACCTTCTCAGAGTGTGATTGGAGACTATTTATGTAGGCTTGGAGGGTCCAATTACTTTCTGATAAGGTATGTGGATCCATAGGGAATAAAGAAATATAACTTGAAATACTCTGAACCCCGCGGATGCTGCGCGGTTCCCCCGCTTCGCACCTGTTCCTTGGGGGAACCCCGCCCCCCTGTCGTCGCCTGCGTGGGAGCCGCCGTTGATGACGTTGAAGCAGGGCACAGGCAGAGTCAACTTCGCTCCGTTGCCCGCCAAGTCGGCAAAGTGCTGGTAGAGGGGCACACCTTCAAAGACTTGGCCAAGCAGCACCAGATTGGGCACCAATCTGAAGCCAGCCCCAGATTTAGCCCAAGAATCCATCGTCACTTCCGTCCTTCATAAGCGCTTTTCATATGGGAAAAGGACTCTTCTGGGCCGCAAAAGCAGCACCTCTAAACACCGGCTCCTCGGCCTTGAAACACCAGCTAATGATCAACTATATGCCCCTTCTAGCTGTGGCCATGGCAAATGTATGCATGATGTTCTCTCAATTAGGCCCATCCATCCTATGTCCAATCACCTCCACCGGACTCGCCACGCCTCGCGCCTGGGCCGCGGCCTTGGCCGCGGCCATGGAGACGCCGAGGATGGCGTTAGCGCCCAACTTGCTCTTGTTGGGAGTGCCGTCCAGGGCGATCATCTTATCATCCAACTCCTGTTCCCAGGGCGAGTATGTTTTGATCTGTTTTCTCAGGGGCCCCACACAGCAGGAAGAGAATTTGATGTTTTTTCGATTGAGGCGGGACAATGACATGGGCACGAATGATCACTGGGCGTACACATAATGTGTGAAGCGGGCCAATACTGGAAGACATTGACAAACAAAGAAAGTGATAATAATAACTATAATGCTGAAAATATCTGAAAGTGATTGCGGTCAAGATCATTGATCAATGATGGTCTGTTTGACACTGGCTGGTTGGCGGCTTTTGATTCACACGGTGTTTGCAAAAGAACATGGCTCAGAATTGGTAAAACTATATAATACTGGGTCCGGGTAGAACATGGCATCACCACCGACCCTTCATTCACAAGATCAACAACCAATCATGTCCCCCACGTCACGTGAACGTAGTCAATCTTCTGTAAAAGCTGGCGTTTGAAGCTGGCGTAAACCAGTCTTTCTTATGTAAAGAACGTCGTCAATCTTATTTAAAAACTTCTGATCAAACACTTTCAGCTGGCGTTTGAAGCTGGACGAGTCGATGGCCTGGGGTTCAAATGGCCGATAGGGGGCGCGTCCGAGACATGTGGACGACACGTCCAGGGTCATCCAACGGGTGCCCAATGGAGGTCTTAGTAGTGTAGGGTAGTACCCCTTCGGATGATCGTAGGTAACATGTTGATGTTGTTTCATGACAGGGTCAGCTGAAGTAGACCAACCCACCAAAACATCATCCTGTTCATTCACTTTCGAACAAAGCAGGTGTCCAATGGTTGAACATGGATGAACATGGGCTAACCTCTGGCTTCATTTCGGCTCCAAGAAACACGGCTTTATGCTTCATGTCCGACGGAAGCGGTTTCGCTCGTGACTCGATTTCGCTCGTGACGTGTCTTCTCCTTCTGCTTGGAGACATCGAAGCCCTTCAGCGAGGCGTTCAGCACGGTGTTCACCGACTCCACGGCCTCGCCCCCGACGTTTTGAACAGGCCGTCTTGCACAGCGAGCTGTTAAGAAAGACGCGCAGGTGCATAGTTGGACATGTCCAAATCCAGTATGATGTGCACATTGTGGTCTGTAATAGAGATCAACTTCACCCAAACCCAAACAGCCCGTCCTCCTTGACCCGATCGACCGTCCTCCGCCCGCCTTCATGACGCCCTTGCCCAGGTAACGGCCCTTGTCGCCATCGCGGAGCTCGCAGGCCTGGGTGGAGGGTCGCTTAGACCGCTGGAGTCCGTTGGAGCACTTGGGTGGGCAGCCAAACACGAAGCCAAATGACATATCGAAAGAGGAGGCCTCCGATTGACCCAGACGTGCAAGGCCAAAAGAGCCAGTGAGAAAAATCCTCTCAGAGGTGAACTTCTTTGAACATCATTGTGGCCAGCTCATCTACAGAACCACATCCAATGATGCAATAGAAATATGATGCAATACAGCACCACATCCAATGTCATGTATTGCAATTCATTATGACTTCTATTTTGCATGACGTTGGATGACCCCACAACGCGTACCGCCGCCTCATGGACGCCGGTGGAGGCGCCCGAGGGCACCGCGGCGGTCACAGTGATGCCGCCCTCGGTGACGAGGTCCACCTGGGAGGAGTCGGAAGTTCCGATTTTTTGACTTTAAACAAAAACACCCAAACACGACTAATGGGACTGCCATAGGACTGCCGAGAAAAGGCCAGGGGTGGTGCCAGGGGGGTCAATGGGGCGGCATATGAACGCGTGTCTGGGACATATATTAGATTATATTAGAGAAAGATATCGAAATAACTATTCATTAGATACTCATTAGATATCTCCATGGTACATCCCATCACTATCCATTACCCAGTAACAGTATAGATGACGGTTCGTGTAGTAAAGGCCGGTATCTCTAAGACTGTTACAGGTAATGGGAAAAAACAATGTATATATATACCTGTTGGTTAATAAACATCCCCACATTTGGATTGAACCTCTTCCACATATCTCCTTATGTCTTTTGTTTAATATTTACTTGGTTCACTGATAGATGTAGGAAGATCTAGAGGCATGGCAAACAAAAGCTCCCAAACACACCTTTGGGACCGACCACTTGGTCATCTCCCAAAGCCCTCGACGTCTATCGATCGGCCTCCACGGTGGGGTTGCCACGACTGTCCAGGATCTCACGACCTTTCAGCTCCTTCCGGCATCCAGCTCGCCCCATCAGGACCCCACCCTGCCGCCCCACCGGCCGGAGGATTTGGGAGGTATTTGTTGTTTGGCTGCTTTAGGAATGGATTACATTGGTTGGCGAGACATTGGTTGGCGAGCCATAGAGCACTATCTTGCACTGCGTCGGTGGTGGTCTTTTTTTGGAGATTGTTCATGTCGCTTGCTGGGGATGGGATGAAACTTTGGAAGGGATGTATAGCATCGCATCCTTACTTTTTTATTGGGGAGAATATTCTCAATGATGCGAGAAACACTTGATGAACAATACTTCTCAATTCTTTGATCTTGAAATTGATTGAACATGCATCTTGGCCATGTCGTCCTTGATCTTGAACATGTTGGCCGAGACGGCATCGATGGCCGCTTGCAAATCGCTGGCACCGGTGGCCTTCAGGGCTTCCAAAACGGACTTGGCCATGGCTGTAATTGGGCTTGGCGAGGCTGGCTCGGCGCAGTTGAAGGTCCAATGGCTGCAGTTGCGGACGTGTTCCACGTTGCTCCCAAACGAGCCACCCGTGTTGCCTTGCCGGCCCACTCCGGCCAACGCGGAACTCCGAACGACGCACAAACCCGAAAGCCACTGCGATGCGTGCGACGAACGGAATCAATCCGGGAGGGTGCCGGTTCACAAACAAATGACTTGGAGTGTGGCACCCCTCCTGCCCTGATACATGTTTTGTCATCCGGCCAGCAGTCAATTCGATGTCATCATGCATGTCTGACAGGTCAATCTCAACTCCAGGATCTTCTGCAAATGTTGCTCCCTCCCCAGCAGGGAGAGCTCCACCGAACCGTCTCAGTCCGAGCTCATCCCGTCCGCCGACCGCCTGGCTGCTGCGTAGACCTCATACCACTCCTCGGGGAGCTCCTCATGGGCACGGACCTGATCGGGGCGCAGGCAGGCAGATGCGGCGCAGGCTTGGCTGCCAGCTCGGCTCCAGAGATGGAAGCTGCTAGCTTGGGCACTTGTGTTCAAATTGATCGACATCCAAACTTGTCATCCAAAGTCACCCTCCACTACCTGCAAACGGCAAACAACACAAGCCCCAGGTGCTTTGAACTATATAGTTGGTGGGCACATACTGCACTGAACATTATACGCCACCAAGCCCATCAATCTAATTCTGCAGGATTTTGCCGTTTCTTCCCCTCTGTGGATCATGACGCCCCAAAGATGACACCCACTCAACTACGGCGCCTTAGCCAGCGCAGCCAAGGCCAGCACCACCGAAGTTCGCCACATGGCCGAAGCACACCGGACCGGGAAGATGTGCGATGGGTCGAGGCCCGGGGAGTCCCAAAGGATGTCTCTTAAAGGAACTTCCAAGAACCACCAGTGATGGAGTCCCCATCAGTCCCCCGTCCGTCCCGTCCGTGGTGTCTGGGCCGTTGCGCTTGTTGAAGGTGAATGGATCCCCCGTTGTGACCGAACTGTCGAAGTTCGGTCCGAAAGAAGCAGCGAAGCCAATGCGAAGCGGTCATGATCTTCGTCGTTTTTTCCCGCGAAGCCTTCAGCGCGATGGGTGTTGGTGATGGAGTGATGGTGACTGATCGATCTGAGTGTCCTTTGCTCCGTGGCTCACCCAGGACTGCATGGGTGATCGGCTGATCATGGGCCCTCAAACAGGGAACACCAACAGTTTCAGGAAGTCAAACGAAGGGTTACCAGCCAAACCTTTCTATTGGGATTTCGATGGTGAGACAATTGGGAAGATGGGCGAACCCAAGAATCACTTGCTTGTATTTTTACATGATTTCATGGTTCTAAAAGCCATCGTGGCATTTCCGCGTCGCCCTCCTCACTGCTTGGACAAGCATTATGCATGGTGTTTGACCGTGGCATGTCTGCTGCTGCGCTGCAGGACTTGAGCCGAAGCTGCTGGAAGTCACGGTGCTCGGAGCAAGCAGGCAGGGCATGCAGTGCTGCATTGATCGACCATCTGCAGCCAACAACATGTGAATACATGTCCCCCTGAAAGAACAACGCCATCGAATTGCTGGTCCAACATGAGAGTCTACTCCCACATGAAACATTTGCTTTTGGGGAGCCCATTTAGGGATCTGGGCAAAGGCGGGATAATCTAGAAACGGCATAACGCATGTATATCATATGTACTGAGACTGTAACATGATTAGAATCCTTTGTGACCAGTGATGGTTCAGTGCAGGTCACCTCATTCGGATGAACATGATTTAAACTTTCTTGTTGGTGACATCCAGTTCGGTGCTTTCATCCAGTCCACTGAGTCAATGAATGGTGCATCAAGTTCATCGACATCGCCGTTTTCAGTTCAACTTGGCCAAGGGTATCTGCAGTTCATCTAGTTGACTTGCCAAAGCCTTCCCCTGACATCATCTCTTCCAAACGGATGATTGTACCGTCTCAAAACAGCCCGAACAAACTCGTGGCTAGGCCAACATTTTGCGCAACACGTCCCTCCTTGTGACCTCGGCACCTGTTTGCTTCAGGCACTTCTCCAAATACTCAGCCTCAAAAAAACACCAACTGTGCGCCGTTTGTGGACCGCGAGTCTGCAGGGCGAGAGCCGGGCGAGAGCCTACTACATATTATGAGCACTCTCGTCTGTGGTCTCCAAACGTGGAGACCAAATACCATCGATGTCTTCCCCACATCAAATGAACAGTTGATGGGTCACCTATTTTTTGATATATAACTAGTATGGTACACGTTCAGGACAAAAGGTGCCAGACAATATCTTGTCATATCGGGTCAAAACTTGGACAACAATGGTCGGTGTCAATAGCGCTTCAAAACGAAAACAAAAAAAACAAAGATGAAAACAAACCTGTTGGAAAGGTGCGCAACACACATGTCGTTTACTTTGGACCGGTTTCCCGGCATGCCACAACGCGTGCAGAAAAAGGGCACCCACGTTGGGTGTCACACTTCGTGGAGGTGCTGGTGCTGTGCAGATCGTGCAGCCCTCAGGGTCTCACGATCACCGCGTTTGGAGGTCTCACGGACACCGCCCCGAAGTCATCGTCAGATGGAAGCCTTCCTTAGGCTTCGACCCAAAGGTCGAATTGCTCTGGATCAGAAAGACCACAGCCATAGATGCCTTGGAGCTCCTGGAGATGCTCAGCCTAAAAATGCCCAAAACGATCATATTCGGCATGTTTTTGCAGTTGAAGATTATCAAAAAGATTCAATACGGATGATGCTTGGATATTTCTATCAGCCCCTTAATCTGAACTCAGAAGCTCCACTTGGATTGGTGTGACGCGATTGAATCAAAGGTTCTGTTCAAGTTCATGTCAGAAGCAAATTGTCTTACGAACTTTGGAGTGTTTCACGCCTTCAACGGATGCCTTCAACAAGCACCTGCAACTCACAGTGGTAGTAACACTAGCAACGGACTTGTGTCAAGGTGCATGAGAAGCATCCCAAAGCTCAATGTCAATTGCAGTGTGATTGAAGATCAAAGTACAGTAGTTAGAACGTCCTGTTTAACATCTTCCATACCCTCCGCCAACATAGGACCTAGCAAATCTAGCAACAGTAGAATCCCTTCCAAATTCGTCATGGCCGCATTGCCCACCGCAGCGTTACGCCCATTTCCGGGTCGGGTCGAAACCCGGTCTCCTGAGGCGCCTGGGTGACGTGTGGTAGGCAGCAGGGCGTCAAGACCAAAGACCTGGCGGGGTCGTGGTCGGTCGGTGAACATCGGTGGGGTCGGGTCCGGTGTCGCTGGGAACTCGGGGTACGGTTCAAGCAGTTTCGGAGAGCGGAGAGAAAGAGTGTGAGAGGGAGAGAGAGAGAGAGAGAGAGCTCTGATGGGCCTTTTGAAGCTCATATGACTGTGGTGAGAGATAGGAAGAGATTGGACCGTCACTTGACTGTTGGATGTTTTACATGGCGGGTATGTTGATAGCGGTGTGAAAAACTGGGTTGCTTTCTTGTTGTGGCACGTTCGGAAGGAAGAAGCAAACAAGAACGAACCAATTCGCTGATCTCCATCGTCTGTCAAAAAGGGGCTTCACCGGGTGGGTGGTGCCCACCCTGAGAAGAGCTTGGCATCTTTGTTCCTGAAAAGGTTAGTTGAAAGATGTTGAAAGTAGCCGCTGGGTGTCTTTCAAATCAGAAAGAGACAAGTGATCCCTACAGAATGTTTTCTTTGTTCTGTCTGATTTCGCCTTTGAAACGCCCAGAACAACAGAACTATTCGAAAATAATGGCTTCAAATAGGTTCTGAAGTCTCCCTATTTCTTTCCTGCACTCAATCGTGTAATTCTGATTGGTTGGACATTGGCCAAATGGTAGTTGAACCACAAAACAGTTGAGGGACCTAGTAGCGGCCCTCTCCTCAAATTCGATGAACTCACCTACCGTGGAATAAGGTCGTCAGGTGTCAAGGTACGATCACAGGTGTACCATCCGAATATATATATATATGAATACCTATATTGTATCATATATGTATAATATATGTATGAATACCTATATATGAATAGGTATCATATATGTATCATCCTAGATACCTATCTTGGGCGTGGCAGGCTAGTGGCCAACGGTGTGCCTTACCAAGCGGATCTCTTGAAAGGCCGCGATGGCTTGCAGGCTCCTGTGGTGTCCAAAACACGTTGACCCGGAGCCCTTCCAAGCGGAGGACTCGGAAGAGAATGCCTCCGATGCCTCTGTTCATGGACAAACACAAGTGACTCCCCTGGATAGAAGTCTACAAATGATTTGATGGGACCAGTTGAACATCAAGCATGCAATTGTCTAGTCGATTAACTCCCAAGATTCTTGGCAGCGGCAGTGCTTTCAAAAACAAATCAATACATACAAAACACACTGGACATTACTAAACTACCAGTACCATTGGAGAACGATAGCGTGATATTATACAAAAGTATACAAAAGTACTATATGGGCACCTAGTCACCTAGTCTGCGATGGGGGGCCCTTTGTCTCTTCAACATCAGTGGCAACCTCTTCCCCAACCGCTTTTACTACCGATCCAGCACCACCCGAAATATCTCGTGATCACCTGTAGCTTTGGTACACCGGGGATTGGATATTTGATGATATTTGTAGGGTACAGGTATCTGAGAAGGTGCTACAGGAGAACACACGCCCAAGATGATGGAGAACAACGAACACATTCGGTTGTCATGGGTCATGGGAGACATTTCTTGCTCAACACTCAAAGGGAGCAAGTACCGCCCACACCCTTCAATTATGATATACTTGATGTATCTCGATCAATATATAAATTTATCCCAGGCACTCCATGTATGCCATATATGCCTACATTGACCCCCCTGGCACCACCCCTGGCCTGATCGGCAGTCCTATAGCAGTCCCATGGGTCGCGTCTATATATTGGATGTCAAAAGGCATCTCCCGTCTCGATGTTTTTCAAACAAAACGCACGGACAACGGTCTCAGGATCCCAGCAATCGCCCGCAGAGATGCATCCCCAGAATGCAGGTCGGCCTGTCGAGGAAGACGTGTCTGGTCCGATGCGCAAAGTGGTCACAAGACATCCAAAGACCATATCATCCATATGGAATATATAATTACAATACTTATTGTATAATTACAATATGGAATACAGTACTTATTGTATAATTACAATGCTGAATACCAATAGACCGTTCTTTCAGGTTCTTTCTTTACATCGGAAGGGTCACGTGCTGTGCATGGTTAAATATTCTTAATCTCAAGAAGCAAAAAAATCGGACGTTGAACCTGAGGCCTCAGCTTGAAAAGTTCTAGGCTGAACTCCGGTGAGGGACGATATGAAACTTCTGGGGATGAACCTGGGGCAAGCTCATTGTGCGAACCAAACAAAATCACATGTCTTACTTGGTCCCACCCATGCACCATTGTAATCATATAAGCCTGCTCAGCACTGCACTCTGGCCGCCTGGCTTAGTCTGGTCCTTCACCCGCCGCCTGCCTTCCCACATCCATGATGCGATTGCCAAGCACTTGAAGAAAGTCATCGGCAAGAACATCATGCCTCACCGGGCATCGGTGTAAAAGCACAGCCGCGCTGAACCGTGTTGTGCTCTTCGTGAACAAATGGTATGAACATGATGCCCTGGACATTGAAGCGTTAAATGCATGATCGGCACGAATCAGTGCCTCTGCAAAACAAATTTCTGTGACACAAGCTGCTCAAACCCCATGTCGATGATCAAGAGAAGTGTGAAAACATGTGAAAACTAAGGCCAAGGCTTTAGGTACTTCACAGGCACATCTGCATATGCTGC